GCCCCTGGCTAGCCCCCCTGCATCCTGACTTACCTGATATAGGGCAGCCATTTTGAATCTATTTAACCTCACCCTAATGCCCCCCGAATCTCTGTACTTAGCCTAAAGGGTTAGGTGGAGTAATACCTTTCCTTCTACAGGATTCTACAGACAGAAGTAGGGCTCTCCACAAAAGTGCTCTATAACAAGGAATAATGTTTTGGGACTAAGAAATACAACATAAACTATTCAAGACAGGTACCATGTTCTTATTTTTCTTGGAACATGTTGGACTCTAATAGTAATGAAGATATGTGAGTGCAGACTTACTCATTTTTCTCTTTTTTTCTTTTGGAATGTTTCAATATTTTAATGCTTGTTTTATAAAGATGACGACCTCTCTCTTCATTTTTCTCCTTCTTAGCCTGTTCTTCTGCCATAGGTGTAAACAGAAATGTATATAAAATGTAACTTAAATTTGAAAGTAGAAAAACATTTTTAACTCTAGAGAGGATAATCTCCATTACAGTAGCTGTGATTAGTAGCTACATAGGACAAGTTTACTTTTTACTATAACAGAGACTTGCTACTGTCAAATTTTCTTCTTTTTTATATTAGTGATATTGCATATGCAGGATTCAATTTTTTTGTGCACAAATCTAAGTGCTTTCAATGTCTGTAATAGTGAGGAAGTAAAGTATAGGCATTCTTGTGTCTATATCATACCAGTATTAAAAATTCTGACAAATCAGCATCTCAAATTCACTGTTAGCCCATGACCATTAGTTTGAGCTGAGATTTTGCCAACATCTACAAAATTTTATTAGCAATATCTCTTAAAGCCATCAACTGGAGGATGGCTGTGTGTGGGCCGGGAGTGGTCCGAGGCCCTCGGGGGCGCGCGGAGGGCTGTGGCCAGCAGCCCGGACATGCCGGGTTGGGGAATGCAGGCCGGCGGGCTAGAATTAGGCACGGACGCTTAGCGGTTGATTAAAGATTATTTTACTTACACCGAAGATGGTCGCGGTGCAGGCAGGAAAACTTGCTTGGGTTGCGGTTACAGATAGAAAAGAAGAGAGGCGGACAAGAGTTCCTTCCACGCGAACCTCTAGCCCAATCCAGTTGAAGGCTCTAAACACGCGAGCCCATTGCATCAACCGAAGAAAACAACTCGAAGCAGAGAGCTCTGGATACACTCACACGAAGTTTGCTAGGCTCCGTGGAACTTGCGCGCAGGGAAAGGGGGTTCATCGAAGGATTGCGCTCAGCGATGGGGAGAGGCCAGAGGTTGATCAGACTCCTATAGCCTGCGCTGGGTTTGATAGGCTCCGCAGCGCTTAGAGATCTTCATGAGATGTGAAGTTCTCCTCCTCCAGATGGTTGTGGAGTCCTCCCTTGCGGGGGTTCTCCTCGGAGTTCTCCAACTTGGGCGGAAACCGCTCAAGCCTCTTATACGGCTAGCAAGCCAATCGCTAGCCGCCACATGGGAATAATTTAGAACTGGCCAATAGTGGGACACAAATTTGCATGCGAATGGTGGGAACTCCTTTACACCGTGCATTTCTCTTTGCAACTAAGAAATGCACCCTACAAAGAAAGCTCCTAGTGGCGGGAAATAATTTAGCAGTGCCGAAGCGAACACAAACAAAATCACACCCTTGGGTTGTGACAGGCTGCAGTTTCAAATATATTCTGACAACTGTAAAAGTTGAACAGGGTTTCACTACAAATCAGTTCATTTGGTACTTCACAGTTCATTGGCACTCAATATTTTACATGCTATAACATTTATGGAGAACAAATAAATGTTTATGATTACTGCAAATGTGGTGACGGCCAAATTGGGCAATCTCTCAACTGCATCCTTGCCCAGCAACTAAAAGACAACTATTCTGAGAATATCTGACTAGCTAAGACATACTGGGGCTCCTATACATGTGCCTGGAGCCTGCTCTGACATTGTAATTCAAGCACATTGGTGTAGACATCAAGTCTGCTGGAGTGTGCAAATTAATGCCCTCTAGCAGCCTCCAGCATCATGTGTATCAGCATCCCCATGCTGAAAAATGGTGGTGGGGTGCTTTGAACTAAAGCTCGTTTAGCTTGCCCTACCATGCCTCCTAAAGCATATGTATAATTGCCCACAGACTGCTTCCGGAAAACCAGTTTTCTCTCTCTACTTTTTCTCAACTTCAAATGTTAAAATGTTTACTTTGCTGTTTTATTTCCTGTAATCAATTATAATAACACTGTCTTACACAATGTTTAGGTAAGCCTGGCTTTCATAGTTACAAAGCTGAAATGTAACTCCTTCTTCAGGTGGGTAAATAGTTAAAGTTAGTCACTTAAGTGGCACTTAGAGCCAGTATACACTTAAAGAGCTAAAGTTACCTTTGTAAGTAGCATGTAAGGCCACTCGGACAGATTTAGATCCAACTGCCCCCTGCTTATAGTGCATGTCTTGCTTTTGATAAGCTGCTGAGTTGAAACTTATGGGGTTCTTAACTCTATGAACCCACACAGAAAAGGCTGGGAGTTCTTAAAACAAGAATCAGACAGGTACATATTGTTACCTGAATAAAGAATCAGGTGCCTGTATGCAGTGTCTCTATGTTTTAAAATAGTTACCTAATATCCTATACAGTATCATCGCTTTTGAAGAAATATTTCAGTTAATTTCTATTGATTTTCTATAATATCTTTTGGTGATGTTTTGACAAAATTACCTTATTAGAAGAACTTTTTATTATGTCTACAAAGGCAGGCCTCTAGATGGAAATATGGTAGAAACATGACCTGAATTTCATGCTGTTGCTTTACAAATACCAAGCAAGCGGAATGTGTTAGAAGACACCAGACTTAAGTCCAATGGGATCTGTTACATTCATATATCTCCTCTTTCGCTGCTTTTTCTTCTTGTGTCCTTGTCATAAACTATATGTTTTTGCAGAATTGTGCACAAGTGATGGCTCTTTCCATTGCTACAGCAAGGCCCTCCTTTGTACAGGTCTCACCAAGACACTGGCAAACAAGCAGGTGCTCAATGGCCTGCACTTTACCGCACTTGCATCTATTAGTGTTATTAGAGTGGTCTCATTTGATCATGTTTGTTTTTTTTGATCCTCTGGTTGATGTGCACAGGCTGTTCAGGCATTGCTATGTTGGCCAATCTGTATCAGCCTCTCTGGGAGGGTCCTCCTGGGGTTCCCTGTCCATTTCAGGGCATCTGATTGTATGTAATCTTTCCTTGCATAACCTCAATTGTGCCCCACCTGCTGTTGTGTCCAAGGGTGCAACACTGGTCGTAAACCTCTTTTGTGCTTTAAGCCTTTTGGTTACTTCTGTGTGACCATAGACTGGATGCCTGGAGTCTTCCATCTGTTGTGATCTTTCTTTTTGGCTTGCTACCTTTCTTCTGATATCAGGTGGTTCCAGCCAGGAAGTACAGACTACCTTTGGTGTTGGCTTTAGACATCCTGGCCACTGACAGATATAGAACAAAACAGTACTTTACAGAAGAGGAAGCGCATTCAACCTGACTCTCCAGCATCTGTATAGATTGTGTGCTTCAGCA